ACCAACCAAACCAATCAAAAGACACATATGACCCCCCTGCCACCCCCACGCACCTTTGTTTGTCCTCCACGGCGGCAGCGGGACCGATGTGGTCTTGCCGCGACGACGTCTTGCGGGCTGGCCGCCGTCACCCACACTCCCCTCACCCCCACCGCCCCCAGCGCCATCCCCACCACTCAGCACGGCAGACGACAGAAAGGTGTCCTTGGCCACCGGCAGCGGCACCATGTCACACACGGGCTCTGTGGGCGGCCGGATGATCTCTGGACACCCATGGTCAACACCAGACAATGACTTCCTGCATAAATGGATGGATGGAGACATAAGTGAAGGAGGGCAACTTGTGTGGGGTGTGTTGGGGTTGCCTGTATGGGTCCTTGAGTAGCAGCATGTCGTGTGTGGCGTCGTATGGGCTCAGCACGATGGCCATCTGGTGGGGCGATGGCAACACGTCAGTGGCGGTGGGGGTGGACGGGGCGGACAACTCCTACAGATGACAAGACAGACCTGTAGCTTAGAACTATTGGGTGCAGCTCGTCTCCCTCTCTCTCTTGGGTTGCCTTTATGTTGATGATATCGATGGCCGACATCTCATCGTGACAACTGAAGGCACAGCAGATACAGACACCCGAGAACGCATCCACATGTGTATCGTGACGCCCCCCACACACACATACAGAGATCATTACCGAATGACGGCGAAGTCATTGCCTTCAACACAATACGACAAACCTGCAGACACAGCCCCCACACACAGACACACGAACGAACGATGGTTGAGGGCATCTCTGTCCGTGTGTGGTGTGTATGGTGTTGTTACTGCGTGAGAATCGTGGTATGATGCGTTTGGCGTAGGCCGCCCGCTCGACGCTGTCCGCCAGGCTCTGCAGATCCCAGCACACCGGCTTGTTCACCACCACCACAAACAACTGAACACACACACACAAAGGCCACGACACATCCACACACCATACGTCCCTCTCCCCCTCCCCCATTTGGCCTGCTTACCTTGCGTCTGTCGGCGAAGATGACATTGCTGTCGGGCCAGAAGTGGGCCTTGAAGAACGGGTGATCGTGCTGGCGCTGGTGGTTGTCTGTGGGCGGGGTGTGTGTGGCAGTGGCAGAGGTGCCCGGTGCGTCGGGTGAGGAGTTTTGGTGTGAGGCGTCCATGGTGTCGAGGTGCAGCAGGGCGGGGAAGGCCTTGCCATCGCGCCGCTTGTGGCTCAGCTTCTCCCACCAGGGGCGGCGGAAGGCACTGGGATCCAACTCATACCTGGAAACACAGAGCAAAGAAATGGTCGACAGATGCTCATCCGTGCGCCTCTCTGTCTCTCTCTCTTTGTTTGTGTGTGTGTGTGTGTGTATGTATGTGTATGTGATGGTGGGTGGGTACTTGTGCGTGCGCAGCTCTTCGAGGGAGTGTGCCAAATGGCATTCGGCTCCTTTGCTGCACTCGCCCCGTCGGTGGAACTGGCAGATGGACGTCCTGTACCCGGGCGGTTCACGCAACTCCTGCCCACAGCAGATGCACACACATGGGAAGAAAACGGGTCGCCGTCATGCTGGTGTCTGTCGGTGGGTATTACCTCTTGGCCGTGGGCGAATGAGCAGATGCCGCCCCGCGGGCAGTGGCCGTTCGTCATCACCCAATCGCGGCAAATGGATGTCTTGTACACTGCACACATCAAAGCGACCGCACACACACGGTTTTCTGTCCATCCATCCATCCATCCATCCACTGCGTCCGTCCGTCCGTCCGTCCGTGTGTGGTGTGCCTACGTCGGTGGCTGGGCGACAGTGTGGAGCCTCGCGGGAAGGCCGGCAGCGGCGGGCCTTGCAGAGCCATCGGCAGACCAATGGAATGGATGACGGCCGGGCCTTCGGAGCCGCTCGCAGATCTCACACGAACGGACGAGCGGACCAAGAAAACGAACAGGGCGGTGGATGAGGAATGGAAATTTACGAGACGGCGGGAGCCAGGGGTCGCGGAAGGGGTGTGCTCACGATGTATGTGCTCTTCATCGTCGCGGCGTTCATCTACTCTGCAGCGGCGGCGACTGCTTGGGACGAGTACTGTGAGGGCACGGACTGCCCTACCGATGGTGGGCGATGCAGTAGCGAGAGAGAGATCTATGGCGCACACATCAGTGCTGGCCCGTATACGTATATGGCTGTCCGACGTCGTATCTGTCGACTGTGTGCAGGTGCGTCGTTCCTCGGAGGCGGTCAGGAGATCCAGGCGGCCGATGATGCAGGGACCGGTAGCCGCACACAGATGGGTGGGGGGGAAGGCCTGTGCGTCCAGCCATCCATCCATCCAGCCAGCCATCAAATGTGCGTGTGCGTGCAGGAGTTGAGTTGTCCATGTTGGAGCACCACCTCCAGACCGGAAAGAAGTCCCTCCAGTCGGCCATCAAGCTCCGTACCGTGGCCAGTAAAGTCACCAGCGCCGCCAACGATTTGATGGTGGCAGCCAACACAACCCTCGATAACCTCCAGACGCAGCTGAATGTCCTCACCGGTATGTAGGCAGGGAGGCATCCACACTTATCCATCCATCCATCTATCCATCGAATTCCCATTGTCATGCGTCTTGTGTTGTCTTGCCGAATGGATGAATGTGACAGGCACTTACGCAACGGCTGTCAAAACTACCCATTCCGACTACGAGAAAAAGCATCCCCAAGGCGAGTGGGTGGTGGATGTATGGGAATATCACTCTCTCTGTATGGCTCTTCTCCTCCCTGCAGATGAATGCACGAAAGACAAGGACTGCACAACGGCGGGCAAAGAGGGGTTCTGCTTCGAGCACGTCGACCGACACAGGAAAACAGAAACATACAAGGCGGACAAGAACAACCCGCTATATGGACGTCGCTGCCAGGCAAGGGTCACCTATGCTGTTGGTTCTGTTGGTTCGGATGCAACTCATCGGCCTTGCTGTTTGTGGTGTCCTTTGCCGTTGCAGAAGAAGGGCGACCGTCAGGACTGCTGCGGGGGCGGGGACAAGCCTTCGTCGCTCTTTTCATGTGTTTCTGCTGATTGCGAGCAGAAGAAGCCGTGCAAATGGGGTCTGAAATGCAAAGACGACGTTTGCGTGTAAGCGAATCGCATGAAGGCAGTGGCCGACTCGCTTGTGCATGCACATGTGCACCTGCGAATGAATCGACAGGTCGGACTCTTTTTATACCCTTCTCGAGGGGCGCGGCATCAAATCCACCGCACCCGGAAGTTAGCACGCAAACAACACATGAATGAATCGCATGAAACGTGCATCTTTGCTTGCCCATATGTGATATCCCGCGTGTGTGCAGGCAGATGCTGGTTCGCGGAGCAAGAGCACCGTAACCACCAGAAGCATTGCCCAGGTGAGTCTTGGCTATGCCGTCTGCACATGTCTCTATCTCTTTCTCTCCCTCTCCCTTTCTCTCTCTGTCCATCCATCGTTCCTAACGCCAGAGGGCCAGATCTGCGCAATCACCCGCAGGAGGTCTCACGAGGGTGCTGATGCTGATCCGAAGCTGCAGGACTATGTCAAGTGGGCCAGAGAGGGCGAGTGCGTGCCGTTTGTCGAGCGGGAGTCCCATTGTAACAAGATGGCGCCAGGCTGCCCCC